CCCCCATTCAAGTATCATTAGTCCTCGTTTAGTGACCACAATTGGGACTGGCCACTTGAATGCTAAGTGACGGTGCTTATGATCTTACTTCACATTGTTGTTCTTTGGTCTTGTATTAGGTTACCAGCGGAAGTGCCTATTGTGAAAATTCACAATCCTCACTGCATTCCCCAGATCGGCGTGATGGGTGAGTTTGAGGGAAAAGACAATCCTGTTTCTAATTTAGATCTGAAATACTAAAGTAGAAACACTGCATTCCCGCAATCGGCATCAATAAGTATGTATTTTTGAATTGTTACTCCCGGTGCAGTACAGGTAGTCTTCGACTTACATCATTTCATTTAGTTCATTTCAATGTGACAATGGCACTGAAAAAAAAGTGACTTGCGACCAATTTTTCACACTTATGACCATTGCAGCCTCCCCGTGGTCATATGATCAAAATTCAGGCGCTTGGCAACTGACTCGTATTTACGACGGTCGCAGTGTCCCAGGGAATCACGTGATCTGCTTTTGCGACCTTATGACCTGCAAAGCCAGGTTCACTTAACAACCATGTGACTAACGAAACAACTGCAGGGATTCGCACAACCACAGTGGCGAGGAAGGTCGTAAAATGGGGGCAGCACTCGTTTTAACAACGGTCTCACTCTGCAATAGAAATGCCTGGCTCAATGGTGGACGTAAGTCGAGGACTACCTGGGTTGTCCAAATCAATGCTGGATTATAATTCCCAGCTGCCGTGTTGGTTGGAAGTGGAAAAAGAATAGATAAACTCCATAAACGCAGTTGTTGTTTATGTCCCAAGATGGCGGGAAGGAGGAGGAGAGAGAGAAAATGCGCCCCAGATGGGATGCTGGAGGAAGATGGACTTGATTTCTGGTTTCTCCCCTGCAGGAACCATCAATGGGAGATACAACTGCCCCGTCCTCTTCATCAACCATCGCTGTTTCTCAGGCCCACATCTCAACAAAGGCAGATTGGCAGACCTACCGCGATCTGTTGGGCCCGGGAAATGCATCCTGGTTCTTAAAGAGGTAAGGATCCTGGAAAAGTGGGAAGGGGTGTAAGCATTGGACTTTTCCCCTTCAATCGAAAAGAATAAACTTCTGAAGACCAGGTGTTTCCAAAGGAATCCTTTGTGGAAAGGGATTTCAACCCAACACTAGGCAAGGTAGGTCTAAGATATCCCCAGGCATACAGTCATAGAGAAAGGAAGTTAAAATCCCTCCCCTTATTCAGATGTGGATTTAGTCAAACAAAGAACCAACATGTTAATTCCCCCTTCCCCTTCTCTGGGAAAGTATCTTAGCAGACTTCCCAGGAGTGTCTTCCAGAGCTGGAATTTTTATGGTTCCTTCTCATCTTGTTATCTCTTCAAGAGGTGACAAGTTTCTGGACATCTGGCTCCACTCCTCCAGTTGTATATCATATGCAAGTTATACAGAATCAGTATAGGATTTAATATATTAAGGTTACATCAAAAAGGATTACTTGTACCAACTCCTCCCCCCCCACTTCTTCCATTGAAGAATGGCAGATACACGGATCTGACAAGGGGTCTAGGAGGCCATCCAAACCAACCCGCTGCTGAGTATGGAACCCAAATGGTGTCGATGGAAGAGAATAGTTACCGCTCAGGGTTGAATGATTGGGTCCTTGGTGCTTTCTGAGCTGGGTTGTTTTCCTTACAAGACATTACACGACCCAACTAGTTAACATCATCAGTGCTAGAAGGGGGTAGGATTTGCAGAGAGGATGAGGAGGATGACAACGACATCTGTAGGGTCCATGGTGCTCTCTGAGCTTGATTGTTTCCTTGCAGACGTTTCGTGACCCAACTAGGTAACATCATCAGTGCTAGAAGGAGTGGAGTTGAAGGAGAAGGAGGAACTGAGATTAACAGTCTGTTTGACAAAAAGCAGACAAAATGATAGACAGAGAGGGGACACAGCAGAAATCTTGAACTCAATAACCACAGCCACAGACGAGTACTGAGATGAGCTTTGAGGATCTATGCAACTGCCATTAGCAAAATTTAAAACAATAACAGAATAACAGAGTTTGAAGGGACCTTGGAGTTCTTCTAGTCCAACCCCCTGCTCAGGCAGGAAACCCTACACCACTTCAAAACCTCCAGTGTTGGAGCAGCCAAAACTTCTAGAGGCTAGTCTGAGCTTGTCAGAGAGCAATTAATGAACTCTCAGGTTTTTAAGATTCTACTAATATAGTATAGTTTGTCAATGCTGCTATCATGCCAATGGTGACATGATAGCAGCCTTCCAATATCTAAGGGGCTGCCCCAAAGAAGAGGGAGTCAAGCTATTCTCCAAAGCACCTGAAGGCAGGACAAGGAGCAACAGATGGAAACTAATCAAGGAGAGAAGCAACTTAGAACTAAGGAGAAACTTCCTGACAGTTAGAACAATTAACCAGTGGAACAACTTGCCTCCAGAAGTTGTAAAGGCTCCAACCCTGGAAGTTTTTAAGAAGAGATTGGATAACTATTTGTCTGAAGTGGTGTAGGGTTTCCTGCCTAAGCAGGGGGTTGGACTAGAAGACCTCCAAGGTCCCTTCCAACTCTGTTATTCTGTTTATTCTGTTTTGTTATTCAATTTCTAGTGCTTTTTTTGTGGTGCTGTTAGAAATGTAAGTCACCTAACTGTTATTTGGGATGGAAATATATAAACCAAGATAGACATTTTAATACTGTATTTTTAAGAGCATGCAAAAACTGTAATTGGGTGTGGTTTCTCAAACGGCCATAAGATGGAGCCAGAAACCTGGGTTGTTTTAGTCTTAGTCTCAGAAGAGAGTGTGAGTGAATCTCTCTGTTTTTCCTTCTGTTGGAGAATATTGCCATTTCTTCTAATTGACTGGTATTCATGGATTTGATGTAAGTCTGATACTGAACTGTTTTTGACACTGGACTTTGATATTGGATTATCCCTGGACTGAAAACTGACTGATTTTACCTGTGAATGACTTTGGACTGCTTGTTTTGAACTTTGCTAAAAACTTTCTGAAAGTAAAAACCTACATTTACTGTACAGTGTATCTGTGTGCTGTGTGTGTATTATTCAAACACTTCTTTCAAATACTCCCTGTATGCGCTCATTCTCCTAATGGGAAATTACCTCAACAGGTGCCTGTTTCCTAACCTGGCCTACCTCATAGGGCTGGTATTAAGCTTGAACTATGGAGTCCTTGATGCTCTTTGGCTCAGCTTCATAGCTTCATGCCCAGTGGGGTTTGTTTTGTTTTTTTGCTCTGCTCAGATTCTTCGCATGGTGATCAACTCTGCCTACAAACCCGGAAGCATTTTACGAGAGTTGCAACGTGTCAGTGACCCCAGGTGGAACTTTCAGGAAGAGAATCTCAAAGCAAAGTAAGGACTGTTTCTAAAAGGAAGAAAAAGCCAGACGGTTTGTTATTTAAGAATATATCCATAATGGTGGGCCAGGGAAGAAAGGATGTTGGCAAAAGTTATTTTACCTGAAGAAGATAGAAGAAATTCCAGGTAGTCCCTGACTTATGAACATAATTGAGCCCCAAATTTCTCTTGTTAAATGAAACATTTATTTTGCCTCAGTCCCTTTGTTAAGCGAATCACTGCAGTTGTGAAGTGAGCACCATTTTTCACACTTAACGACCATTGCTTCATCCCCACGGTCATAGGATTAAAATTTGAATGCTTGGCAACTGAGCAAAGTTAATAAGGAAGCCAGATTCATTTAATAGCAATAGCATTTAGATATATATACTGCTTCACAGTGCTTTACTCTCTAAGAGGTTTACAGAGCCAGCATCTTGCCCCCAACAATCTGGGTCCTCATTTTACCCACCTTGGAAGGGTAGAAGGCTGAGTCAACCTAATAGCTGGGTTACTGACTTCACAACTGTAGTGATTCACTTAACAATCGTGTTAGGATTCCAGAAATCACCCTAATGAAATCATGATTCTCCAGCCAAACTTCAAAAAACTTCAAAGGATTTATTAGAGGCGACATACTGGCACTGCCCTGTATGAAGCCAACTCTGGCACCCGTAATTTACAGTCCCCTGTGATCCTGTTTCTCCCCTCCCACCGGGTGTGTCATAAATCACATTCTCCAATTGAACACGTTCACGGGCTGGGTGTCATCATTCATGTTCTCCAGTTAAATATATTTGCAGGCAAAAGCTCTGGTATTTTAGTTACAATCTTTTAAAGGTAAGAGTTGGAATGTACTTTCGCTTTCAAACTGCTACACTGCTCTTCCAGATTTCCTTCCTTCTCCCCTTCCCCCCCTTTTCCCCCACTACTAAGACAGGCATAGGAATGTTTTATGAATTGATATCTAGCTTAAGAATAGAAATTTAGGGCTCTCTTGTTGTAAGTCAAGGTCTACCTGTTATAGCTTCTATGCTCCGAACGAGAGGTTTGGTGCATTCTTTCCAAAGCTATTTTGTAAAGTGGTCCTTTGGAGATTTTTCATGCCTGTTTCCACAACTTCAGGAATGTCACATGTAATTAGGAAAGCAAAATGAATTTTACTAGGGGAACTTCTGCTGTTCCAGAGAGTGGTAAACTATCATATCTTAAATTCTTCAAGCTAATAGGTTTGGATGGGTGTTTTTCTTTAACTACCTCAATGTGGCTGGTAAAATTTATTTTTATTTATTTATTTGATTTGCCAATTGTTTACAAGATAATAAGTATAAATGTATACATAGTTGTGAATACATGAAATGGGTACATATAAGAAAAATAAAAGAATAAGAGAAACAATAGGACAGGGACGGTAGGCACGTTGGTGCGCTTATGCACGCCCCCTACAGACCTCTTAGGAAAGGGGTGAGGTCAATAGTAGACAGTCTAAGGTTAAAGTTTTTGGGGTTTGGGGAAGAAACTACAGAGTCGGGTAGAGTATTCCAGACATTGACCACTCTATTGCTGAAGTCGTATTTCCTGCAATCAAGTTTGGTGCGTGAAACATTTTCAAGTTTGAAAATGTTATTGGAACAACCGCACAGTGGAATACTTGAAAAATGACGTTATTGAAAAGGGTACCCCTTTGATGGCTGTGAGCTCAAGTTGGCCCTTCTTATGGGCTCGATGCCTGCCAAAGATGCCTTATTTTTTTTAAGAAAACAAGTGCTCCAGTTTCATTTTGGAGGTTGCCAAAGGATTCCTTAGTGAATTCAGGGGGCAAATTTTCCAGAAAGTGACAGAATCATATTAATTACACAATGGCTGGCTGGGGAATTCTGGGAGTTGAAAGTCCACAAGTCTTAAAGTTGCCAAGGTTGGACATACATCTCTTACCTTCTGAGTTACATTGATAATATTACATTAAATTTACATTAAAATATAAAATGTCAAAGGGTAGACTTGATGGACGATGGCTCTTTTTCTGCTATCGATTTTCTACGTTTCTCTGAGTTCTCCAGCCCAATATTTGCATTGTGGAAAAATTGTTTCTGTATCTGATGAAGAAATAGTTTGCACGGGAAATTTCTGCAGAACATGGTTAAAAAAAAAGTCAAGATAGCAGCCAGGATGGAGGAACCTTAGGACGTACCAACCTTTCTAAGATGGCAATAGATTAACCTTCCCAAATCTTGGTTTGTATCCCTGTGAGCTGTCTTTGTGAGGATATAACATCCAACTGAGCAAATAAGTCTTGCTCACAAAACCTTGATTTATAATGTATGCCGTGTTGTTGCAACCCACTATGACAGATACCGTGGGAAAACGTACCGGGCAATGGTCAAGATAGTTCGTACATCTGACCAAGTCTCCAATTTCTGCCGGAAGGTGTGCGCAAAACTGGAATGCTGCCCCAATTTATTCGGCCCTATTTTGGTCACCGAAAATTGCCCTGAAAACTGTTCCCGTCACACCAAAACAAAATACGGTAAGCGTGCATGACAACTGTGGGACGAAACCTGGTTTTAGTTTGTGTGGATTTTAGTTTCTCCTGTACTGCCTGGAGTATTATGATTGGGGTAATCTAGAACTTTGCAAATAAATCAAATTTGGTGTTGGCATTTGCTGATGGAAGCCCATCGCTAACAATCTAGGATTGACTCTGAAGAACAACGCTGGGGAAGCCCTCAGAATTCCTTGGATTTGGGCTGAGAAAAGAAAGACAGGTAGTTCCTTGAGTTGAGTCCAACGTTTCTGTTGCAAAGTGAGACAGTTCTTAAGTGAGTTTTGCCCCATATTAGAATCTTTCTTGCCACAATTGTTAAGATGAAACACCGCAGTTGTTAATTATAACACATTTCTTAAGTGAATGCCGTTGTCTTATGAGGAGATTGGACAATCATTTGTCTGAAATAGTATAGGGTATCCTGCCTGAGCAAGGGGTTGAACTAGAACAGGGGTCACCAACCTTTTGGATGTCAGGGGCCACCAAACTCATAATTTAAAATCCCATGGACCAGAGACCCTGGGAAAATCCCCCCAAAAGTCTGCAGGAAAATTACCCACCCCGTTTTCCTACCGCTCAATCATTCTGTATTTGGGATCGCAGGATACCATCTCCAGCTTTGTTCTCAGTGAGGGAGAGAGAGAGAGAGAGAGAGAGACTTTTGGCTTCATGCAAGGAAAGCAGCAGAAGCAGCAGAAGTCTTTCTTTCTCTCCCCCAATCTCCATCAGAAATGAGTCTTTGCCGGTGCGGCCTCTTGGAGCAGGAGGCCTTGCAGGGTCCCAAAGACTCATTTCTGGCGGAGTTTGGGGGAGAGAAAGAAAGACTTTTCTGCTTTCCTTGCGTCAGATGGTCGTAAAAGGGGATCATATAACCCTGAGACACTGCAACCATCATAAATATGAACCAGTTGCCAAGCATTCAAATTTTGATCATGTGACCATGGGGATGCTACAACAGTGTAAGTGTGAAAACAGTTATAAGTCCCTTCTTTCAGGGCTGTTGCAACTTCAAACGGTGACTAAATGAATGGTTGTAAGTCAAGGACTACCTATAGCAGTGATGGCTAAACTTTTTGGTGTCGAGTGCCCAAAGTGCGCATGAACACCCCTCCAAAATTCAATGCAAGCATCCCCTGCGCATGTGCCATGCCCCCCCCCCGCCCATTTTTGGCTTCCAGGTTAGTGCAGGAGGCTTTCCAGGCTCAAAATGGGGCACACTGGCATGGGGGGCATGCACACAAAATGCAATGTGAGCGCCTCCCTGCACAAGACCCCAAAACCAGCTGGCTGGCGGGAAGTGCACGAACATGCACGATGGGACTGGGCTGAGCTGGGCCGATGGCTGGCGTGCCCACAGAGAAGACTCTGTGTGCCATAGGTTTGCCATCACAGACCTATTGTGACGACCAAAAGGGGCATGGCACAAAAGCAACAAAGTCACAAAAGTAGGTAAAGTTCCTTTAATGCCTCCAACTTGGCCCCCAATGTCCAGTTATCATTGGCTGGAGAAAAAACTCTCCCAAGAACAGTTTTTAAAGGGAAGAAATTCAGTCCAAACCCAAAGTACATATAGATTATAAATAAAAACCAACACAAACCACGCTGCAGCAATTAACGAGACAGGGCAGGATAAGGAATTGCAGACTTCAAAAGATAACGAAACACACACAGTTGGGAGGACACTAGAACCCAGATCAGACTTGACAAAGATAATTCACACTTTGATTCCAGAAAGGTGCTGTGCGCAAACACCCTTTTTAAATCCTGTTTTCCCAGCTGCAGCTAATGAAGGGAATCAGGGCCCTTTTCTCCCCATAACCCATGTTGCTCCCTTCTCCGTTCCTCCCTGTGTGCCCTAGGATGAAGAGGGGGTGGCCCTGGGTCTTCCTCTGAATGCCCAGATGGACTGTACCCTTCCCCTGTTCCTTCCATAGCCACCGGAGCCACACTCCCACTCCCTGTCAGCTGCTCGACCTCCCCCTCAGAATCAGATTCTGACAGGGGCATGACACCTATAGAATTCGATGCTTTGATTTTTAACCAGACTTTTTCCTCACCAGCATACTACTGTGGAAAACGTAGGAAAGTCATTAAGCCTTCCCCTAGCGAAGAAAACCCTTACAGCTTGGAGAGCAGACACAAGATATGGTCGGATTACAGTAAGATGCAGAAACCAGGTTTTACACCAAAGAAAAGGTGTCTCCCGTCAGCAGATCAGAATGGAGCAAGATCATCAGAGGTGAGATTTGGCTTCCCTTGTGAACATTATCTGCACATGAGGTGGAATAGGTCAGAAAGCTAACAGAATAGAACAATGGGAGGGGACTTTGGAGGTCTTCTACTCCAGTGGTGGCTAACCTTTTTGGGCTCCTGTGTTAAAAATTGCCTGCGCACCAGCGTGCACACACTCGCGTGCCAGCACCCAGAATGCAATACATGGGGCCCCCTTCCCCACGCCCCTTACCCTGCGCATGCACGCGCAATTTCCCACCCCACCCCCTTACCTGCACTGTGCCTCACAGCTGATTTTTTTTCCCTGGTTGGTTTGAGGCCTTTTTCGGCCTCCCAGAGGCTTGGAAAAAGCCTCTGCAAGGCTTTTCAGGATGAATTATAGGCCCATTTCATCACTTCCAGTATGACAGGAAGTGACGAAACGGGCCTATAATTCGTCCTGAAAAATCTTGCAGAGGCTTTTTCCAAGCCTCTGGGAGGCCGAAAAAGGCCTCAAACAGCTGGGGAAAAAATCAGCTTTGAGGCACACGCCTGCGCAGTGAGGTAAGTTTGCCTGCGGCTTGCGTGCCAGCACAAATGGCTCTCCGTGCCACTTGTGGCATGCGTGCCATAGGTTCGCCATCACGGTTCTAGTCCAATCCCCTGCTCAGGCAGGAAACTCTGTACCCTTTTAGACAAATGGCTATCCAATCTCTTTCTAAAAACTTCCAGTGTTGGAGAATTCACAATTTCTGGAGGCAAGTTGCTTCACTGGTTAATTGTTCTCACTGTCAGGAAATTTCTCCTTAGTTCTAGGTGCTCCTTGATGAGTTTCCATCCTTATTGCTTCTTGTCCTGCCTTCAGGTGCTTTGGAGAATAGCTTGACTCCCTCTTCTTTGTGGCAGCCCCTGAGATATTGGTACACTATTATCATGTCTCCCCGAATTCTTCTTTTCATTAAACTAGACATACCCAGTTCCAGCAACCATTCGTTAAACGTTTTAGCCTCCAGTCCCCAAATCATGGTTGTTCCTCATCTCTGTATTTCTTTATACGATCTCAGCATCTTTTCTATATTAGATTAATGTGAGAGGAATCAACTACCATGTAGAGCCATGTTTTGTAAACTAGACAACTTTAAGATGCGTGGACTTCAACTCCCAGAATTCCCCAGCCAGCCTTCCCCCTTGTTGGCTAGGGAATTCTGGGAATTGGAAGTCCACGTGTCTTAAAGTGGCCAAATTTGAAAAGCAATGATTATAAGGAAAGGCTGTTTCTCTGCCATTTGCTCCTATTTAATGGAATAACCTCTTCAACGTCTAGCTATGTTTCTATCTGTTTGATTTAATGGAAATTAGTGCAAAACAGTGCTCTCCCGGGGACCACTTGGTGATGCCCTCTGGGTTTTTATCAGGTAATTAGTTTCATCTGATTACCTTTCATCCTCCTTATTAACAGCTATTTATTATTAATTATCACGCGGTAAGTAGAAGAGAAGCTGATGGTGTGCTCTTAGTGTGGTTTTCTGCTGGGAGTCTTTTGTTTAATTTGGAAGTGTCAAGAGTGGAAATAAGAAAGCCAGGCAGTTCAAATGAATACAAGAATTTATTGCAAGCTTAAGCTCTTCTCTACAAGAATCTGAACTACTAATCTTCTTCTTTGTCATTTAATGACCCTGTAATCCCTTGTAGGGTGAAGTCGGAGCAACTGAATGGTGCTTTACTGGCCAGTTGCCCTTCCTGTCACCAATGCGGAGTTTGCAGCAGATATATTCTCATTGTGCCAGAGAGAGAAATATCTGCCTCTTCCTAGGGATCAAACTCACGGCCCCCTGATTGTGAGGCAAGAGCACTACCTCTGGGCCACCGCACCACTCAAGAATCTGAACTACTAATGGTCAAAGCAAATTGTCACGGGAATTCAAGGTGGGCTGGACTTAGATCTCAAGGGACTCAAGACTGATGATGCATTTTGTTGTGGAGCGGCGGCAATGATCGAGACAGACTTAGGCTTAAGTGAACAGGCTTTATTCTACAGAATAAAGGGTCGCCGCGGCTGCCGAGGCTAACTGGCAGTCAGCTGGTGGCGACAGCTGATACCGTTTGACAGCTCCTTTTATAGCCGGCTGTCAAACGGCATCAGCCAATGGGAGCGATCGGCACTCCCGCGCACAGGCGGCAGACCAGAGAGAGAACTCGTCAGTCAGCGGACACAGCACTCCTTTCCCCTGGCCAGGCGCATGCGTAGTCTTGCAGCCTAGCAGGCCGCCTTCGCTCGCGGAGAGATCGTCGAAGATTTAGGGGCCTGCTGGCAGGTAAAAGGTCCCTTGCTTGCTGGGAGTCGCCCGGTGATCCTTGCTGGCCTTCAGGAGCCCTCGTCCGAGTGTCCGGTTGCTGACCAGGTAGGTCCTTCCGACTGGTTCGCTGCGGGGACGGTTCGGGAGTCGGCCGGTCGACCGGGTCGTCAGGCGGGAAGCGGTTCGCGGCTGCTGGGTAGACCGGGTTGCTTGGCTGGTCGGCTTCGGCAGGCGGTTGGTAGATCGGGGCGTCTGGCGAGTAGGCTTCAGGCAGCTGGTAGACTGGCGCGTCTGGCGGTCCCTGGGAGTCGACTGCAGCTCTTTCCCAACGCCTCCTTAGCTGGTCTATGTGCCGGCCCCACACTCGGCCATCTTCCAACAGGATCCTGTAGGACTTGGGTCCTGTAACAGAAACTATTTGCCCTGGCATCCATAGAGGGTGCCCTGCATAGTTCCTGGCATAAACCAGGTCCTGCAGGGCAAATTCCCTGGCAAGACTGTCAGAGTCTAAAGGTGTGCCAGGGGCATAGTGAGGGTGTAACCTGTCCAAGGTAGTCCTGAGACGCCTGCCCATCAATAGTTCTGCAGGGGACTTGTTGGTGGTGGTGCATGGAGTAGAATGCTGGCTGAGTAAGTAAGCAGACAGCTTGGAGTGCCAGTCTGCCTGGCCAAACCTTGCCAAGGCTTCCTTTACAGATCTAACAGCACTCTCAGCCATCCCATTGCTTGCAGGGTGAAAAGGGGCTGTGAGGGCATGCCTGATGCCCAGGTTGGCTGCAAATACCCCGAACTCACAAGAGGTGAACTGGGGGCCATTATCTGATACCAAGGTGTCAGGGAGGCCATGCGTGACAAACAGTCTGATCAGGGCTCGCGTGACAGCCAGCGTAGTTGTGGAGGGAAGTAGAGCCACATCAATCCATTTAGAAAATGAGTCTACTATGACCAGGAAGGTCCGCCCATGCACAGGGCCAGCCAGGTCAATATGCAGTCGGGACCAAGGGGCCCCAGCATCCTCCCACCGAGTTGGTACAGCTGTTGGAGGTGCTGATCTAGTTGCCTGGCAGGGCTGGCACGTGCTTACCCAACTGGAGATCCGGGCATCCAGACCTGGCCACCATACGTAGCTGTGGGCCAGAGCCTTCATCCTCACGATGCCTGGGTGGCCTTCGTGAAGGGCTTTTAAAATTGGCTCTTGGAGGGTAGTGGGGATGACCACCTTGGTCCCCCATAGTAAGCAACCCTGAAGTGAGGATAACTCATGCCTGCGGGTCTTAAATGGGATAAATTCAGAGGTGTACTGAATTTCAGGCCACTCCCTCCCCACCCAGTCCAGGACTTGGGAGATTACCTTGTCCCTTCTGGAGTGGGCAGCAATGTCCTCGGCTGAGATTGGCAGGTTGAGTTCGTTGCAATCAAAAATGGCGTGGATGGGCGCGGGGTCTTCTACTGGTGTTGGCAGGGGGCACCTGCTAAGGGCATCTGCATGGCACAGGTTCTTTCCCGGGCGATGTACCAGCTTATATGAGTAGGCGGCTAGGAACAGCGTCCATCTGGTCATCCGCGGGGACAGTACCTGTGGGGTTTGCTTGTCTCCTGCTAAAAGGCCTAAGAGTGGCTTGTGGTCTGTTATGAATTCAAAATAATGACCATAAAGGAACTCGTGGAATTTTTTTACAGCAGCAACTGCTGCTAAGGCTTCCTTGTCAATTTGACTATAGTTCCTTTCTGCTGCAGAGAATGTTCTTGAAAAGAAGGCAATTGGGGCCTCGGAGCCATTTGGCAGCCTATGGCTGAGTACTGCCCCTATGCCAAAGGGGGACGCGTCTGCAGCTAGAACCAGGGGAAGTTGCTGGTTAAATTGGACTAGAACTGCATTTGAGGTTAGCAGGGATTTGACCACCTGGAAAGCATTGGCTTCTCTTTGTCCCCAGTGCCAGGGGGCTTTCTTATCTAAAAGTCTATGTAAAGGTTCAGCTATAGAAGCCTTGTGTGGAAGGAAAGCTGCGTAGAAATTCAGGAGTCCCCAAAAGGCTTGTAGCTCTGTCTTGTTAGAGGGAGTAGGTGCCTCGTGTATGGCCCTAACTTTTGTTTCTATGGGGTGGGTTCCAGAGGCGTCAATTCGATAACCAAGGAAGTCCACTTGCTTAGTGGCAATGGTGCACTTGTCCTTTTTTAGTTTTAACCCATGCTGCCTAAAACGGTCCAGAACTGACCTAACCCTGAGTAATAATTGTGTTTTGTTAGTGGCAGAGACTAAAACGTCATCAAAGTATGGGACTACTCCTGGGAGTCCCTGGAGGATCCTTTCCATCAGGGACTGAAAGATACCTGGGGCCACACTAACTCCAAATTGTAAACGTTTACATCTGAAAGCGCCCCTGTGTGGTTGTCTACTGGGAACTGCTGATATGCTTGGGGCATATCTAGCTTCGCGAAAATTGTGCCTGGGTCAAAGGAGTGCAACAGGTGTTGAATTACAGGGACTGGGTATGCACTAATTTGGAGGAAACGATTGAGGGACGTTTTATAGTCTGTGCAAATTCGCACGCTGCCATCTTTTTTGAGGGGGGTGACTATGGGGGTCTCCCATTTTGCGAAATCTACTTGTTCTAGTACCCCTTGTTTAATTAGCTTATCTAGTTCCAGATCCAATTTAGGGCGAATGGCAAATGGGACTCTACGAGGTTTTAAACGAATGGGGGTGGCTTGTGGGCTCACATCAAATGAGATAGGGGTACCAGAATAACATCCCAGCTCATCACTAAAGACATCAGCGTAGTCCCTAAAGAGGGTGTCTACCTCAGTATTCACCACAGAGTGAATACCGGTTACACTAAGGCCCAGAGCAGAGAACCAATCTAGCCCAAGCAAGCTGGGAAGGGCACCATCTACAACCACCAGAGGCAAGTGGCCTCTAAAGTTCTGGAACTGAATTAGGAACTTGCCTTTCCCCAGGACTGGAATGGTCTTTCCCTGATAGTCTCGAAGAGTCAGGTGGCAGTTGAGCAGCTTCTTCTTGGAGAGTGTAGGGAGCAGCTTCTTCAGGGTGGCCCACGAGATGATAGAGAGGGCAGACCCGGTGTCCACCTCCATCCGGCAAGGCTTACCTTCTAAAAAGAGAAAAATGCTTATTTTGTTAGACCCAGGGGTGGTATTGTCTCAGTGGTAACAGGTGTAGCAATCTTCAACTTGCCTTTGGAAGGAGGCAGCAGCTTGAGGTCTTTGTGAGAAGGTTTTTTCAGCCTGGCAAACCCTGGCTATGTGGCCTTTTTTCTGGCAGTTTAGGCAGATGGTGTTTCTGAATCTGCAAGTTGACCTGGGATGTGCCCCCCCACAGCTCAGACAATTAGGCTGCTGTCTGGCTGCTGGGTTAGTGTTTTTTCTTGGCCCCTCTGGGGGGGGCTTGGCAGTCTGAGGCGGTTTACATCAAGTGGTTCCTCTTCTAGGGATACCTCATCAAAGTGAATGGCAGAGCTCCCTTGCCTTATGGGGTTTCCCTGAATCTCAGCTGCTGACAGCTCTGATAGCTCAGCAGCCTGAGCTTCTTCAATGGCCAGGTTTAGGGTTAAATCTTTTTTTGCTAGTAAACGCCTCTGTAATTTAAGATCTCTAACCCCTCCTACAATTTGGTCCAGTAACGTGTCTTCTAGGTAATCCCTAAATCCACAGTGTATGGCAGCTGATCTTAAAGCTGCCATATACTGACTAATTGTCTCTCCTTCAGCCTGAACTCTCCTTCTAAAAGCTAGTCTCCTAGCTATTTGAGAGGGTTTGGGGGAGTAGTGGTTAGATAGAATTCCCTGCAGCTCCTCCCAGGGAATAGCTTTTACAGAGCGTGGGGACACTAATTCTGAGGCTGTATCAAAAACTGCAGCCCCGCAGAAGCTCAGGAAATAGGATCTTTTCCTCAGGTCAGTGGCTTCTGTCAAGTCGATAGCGTTCAGGAAGCAATCAAACCGGTTCATATACGACTCCCACGTCTCGCCCGTCAGCTGGAAGGGAGGGAATGTCGGGTTTGTGCCCATCTTGGAAGCGGTGGTGCTGATTTCCTCAGCTGTGGAGGATTTAAATTCGCGCCTTTAAAAAGGCGCCCGCGTCTGTGCCTGTCAGGCAGCGTCAGACTCCCAGCTGGGAGTTTGAACTTCGCGCTCGTGGAGAGCGTCAGCAGGGGTGACGTATTCAGCTCTTGCGGCTTCGGCTCTTTTTTGACAGTGACTGTGCTCAGCTGTCTTTGCCTGGTTGTCTCTTATCGCATCCCACCTTCGTCGCCAGTGTTGTGGAGCGGCGGCAATGATCGAGACAGACGCAGGCTTAAGTGAACAGGCTTTTTTCTACAGAATAAAGGGTCACCGCGGCTGCCGAGGCTAACTGGCAGTCAGCTGGCGGCGACAGCTGATACCGTTTGACAGCTCCTTTTATAGCCGGCTGTCAAACGGCATCAGCCAATGGGAGCGATCGGCACTCCCGCGCGCAGGCGGCGGACCAGAGAGAGAACTCGTCAGTCAGCAGACACAGCACATTTGACCCCTCTTTCGGGCTCAGACTGGTCATCTTCTACAGGAGGCATGCAAATACAATCCTTCAATTCAATTCAATTCCGTGGCAGGAGAGTGACGAGGAAGAAGCCGACACCCCGTGGAGTGAGGAAACCAGCCCAGAACTGCAGGATGATCTAACGGACGTCTCTTTAGAGGACATTCCTCTGGCCATACCAATGACCACAATGAAGTTACGCAGCAGAAGAGGCTCCATCCATGTGGCTCGGCCTGAGCGGGACAGGCAAGCCCAGAAGGCACTTTCCTTCCTGCGTGTCAAAAGTGAGAGAACCAGGCAGGTAAGTGGCTGGATAGCTATACCTTTGCTTTTTGATGGGTCTCCAACATTTGAACGACTCCAAAACAGCCCCTTGGAAAATCATGGGTTTTCCGTCTTGCAGGCCTGGTTCATTTGCTTTCTGGGGATTTTTTTAGGGGGAAGCCAGCTTGGTTGGTGTGATGACCCGGGGCATGGCACAAAGGCAACACAGTCAGATAATCAGTAGGAGTCCCTTTATTAGGTCCAACTTTGCCCCCAAAGTCCTGGTTACATTCTGGCTGGAGAAAAATTGATTCTTCTGGCTGGAGAATCAAGTCCAAAATGTGGTCAACAAAAACTGTAACTATAAGTCCAATCAAGGCAAAATGAGGTAATTAGTCCGGCAGGGCAGAAGCAATAATTCCAAATGTGAAGGCACGGCAATAACTCAACGCGGTTGGAAAGATGCCAGGAACACAGATAAGCCATGACAACACAAGATAAACTCACGTTTGTTCCCAGCAGCTGCCGCACTCAGCATGCATATCTTTTAAACTCTTCCCAGCTGTGGCTAATGAAGGGAATCAGGGCCCTTTCCTCCCCCATAAGCCATACAACCCATGTTGCTCTCTTCTCCATTGTTCCCTACATGCCCTAGGATGAAGAGGGGGTGGGCCTCTAAACCATCCTAAAGAAATACTATTTCGAATATCACAGGTAGTCCTTGACTTACGATCATAATTGAGTCCCAAAATTTCTGTTGCTAAGCGAAATCGCTGTTGTGTAAATTTTTCCCCATTTAATGACTTTACTTGCCACAGTTGTTAAGGGAATCACTACCTTACAACCACAATTGAGCCCAACAATTCTGTTGCTAAGTGAGACATTTGCTAAGTGAGTTTTCCCCCCATTTTATCACCTTTCTTGCCACTGTTGTTAAGTGAATAACTGCAGTTGTTGAATTAGTAACACGGTTGTTAAGTGAATCTGGCTTCCCCATTGACTTTGGTCATAAAAGGTGATCACATGTCCCCAGGACATTGCAACCATCATAAATCTGAGAGACGGTTGCCAAGCTTCTGAATTTTGACCACGTGACCCTGGGGATGTGGTAACGGTCATTCATAGTGAAAAACGGCCATAAGCCAATGTTTTTAGTGTCATAACGTCAGATGGTTTCTAAATAAACTGTTGTAAAGTTGAGGATTAACTGCCCTAATTTTGTGGTCTCAATTTTGGTTCATTGCAGATCAAGGAGGCTGCAGAAGATAAGCTCATCCTGGAGAGCAACCCGTTGGAATGGACGGTGCTCGATGTGGTGCAATTCCTCCGATTGACCGACTGTGCTCCCCTTGCCAAAATCTTTCAGGAACAGGTTCTTTCTTTCTTTCTTTCTTTCTTTCTTTCTTTCTTTCTTTCTTTCTTTCTTTCT